ATGGAACAAGCCGATGGAACATACAATCTTGGGCGTTGTTATGAAAATGGAATAGGAGTTGAAAAAGATATAAAGAAGGCATTCCAATATTATCAAAAATCAGCAGATATGAGACATACTGATGGAATATATAATGTTGGACGTTGTTATCAATACGAAATAGGAGTTGAGAAAGATATAAAAGAGGCGTTTGAATATTATCAAAAATCTGCATATATGGGACATGTAGATGGAATATATAATGTTGGGCATTGCTATGAAAATGGAATAGGAGTTGAACAAGATAAAAGGAAGGCATTCAAATTTTACCAAAAATCAGCAGATATCGGACATATAGATGGAATTAATAATATTGGACGTTGTTACCAGAACGGAATTGGAACTGAAAAGAATGAACATGAGGCATTCAAATATTATCAAAAATCCGCAGATATGGGACATGTTGATGGAATATATAATGTTGGATGTTGTTATGAAAATGGAATAGGAGTTAAAAAAGATATAAATGAAGCATTCAAATATTATAAAGAATCCGCAGATATGGGGCATGCTGATGGAATATATAATGCTGGACGTTGTTATGAAAATGGAATAGGAGTTAGAAAAGATATAAATGAGGCATTCAAATATTATCACAAATCTGCAGATATGAGACATGCTGACGGAATATATAATCCTGGGCGTTGTTATAAAAATGGAATAGGAGCTAAAAAAGATATAAATAAGGCATTCAAATATTATCAAAAATCCGAAGATATGGGACATGCTGATGGAATATATAATCTTGGACGTTGTTATGAAAATGGAATAGGAGTTAGAAAAGATATAAATGAGGCATTCAAATATTATCACAAATCTGCAGATATGAGACATGCTGACGGAATAAACTCTGGTAGACGAAATTTATCACCTGTCTGACAGTATTTTAATCACGAAAAAACCAAGTCACCAGGACATTTTTCTGCAAAATGTGTTTATTGCCCAGCTAAATGGTCAAGAGGCAAACCTTTAAAACTTGAGGCTCACCTTGCATATGTTTGTCCTAATGTAGATAATGAAATCCGGAAATTATACATACTTAATATAGCCTCTCGTGATAATTTTGAGGAATCAGAAAGCACAAAAAAGCAAAGGTTAAATGATAACCAACCTGGTATTAAAAAATACTTTCTACAACAAGCAGGGGAGTTTATTGCAATATATACTTTTCTTACATACATGTAATAATAATATCGATTTTAATGATAAATACTATACTAACTATACTAATTATTTTCGTTATTACTATTTTACCAGGAATTTGAATAACTATAACGATTA